CATGACATCCTCCTGGGAAGTCACCCTGGCCAGCTTCCCTGGGATCTCCTGAAGATGGAAAGGCCAAAGATTTCAGAAGCAGGGTCCAGTGCTGCTGGGCTTTGATCCTTACCTCTCACTGGTCCATAGTAGAAAGTCTGTCCCATGGATGCTGCTCTTGGCCACTGGCACAGCTGGCTGGTCCATAATGAAGCTGAGGGGAAACATTTCCCTTCACTCTTCTGGTGGTCAAGGACCAGACAGTCCACTTAAAGGACAGGAACCATCTTCCATGCAGTCGAGCATGGTGCTGTCTCTCTTACATCCTAGACAAATGCTATGTAATGTCTGAGTTTTATTTTACTAACACATAGATTGACCTCATCACCAAACCCGCCATGGTAATAGTAACATAAAACCCATTTGTTCTTCCTTCTCCTAGAAGGCAAGTGAGGAAAAGACACATCATCACGGGGACTTTAGGGCTGGTGGGTCTGCAGGGGTGGGCCCTAATCCAGGTGCTACATGGAGGACTCCTCAGGACTCCAACTGGGGTTACAATACAGCACAGTGATAAGAGCATTTGCCAGCAAGCAGGAGGCCCTGGATGTGATCCCCCGCATAAGAAAGACAGAAGAAGGGAGGGAAGGGGGAGGAAGAAGGGGGGAGAGTGAGAGGCAGGGGGAGGGGGAGAGAGAGAGAGACAGAGATAGAGAGAGGCAGAGACAGAGACAGAGACAGAGACAGAGAGGAGGGAAGGTGGGCTGGGGAGAAAGTTCAGTGCTCAGTGGTATAAATGCCTGCCTAACATGTGCAAGGTCCTGAGTTCGAGCCCCAGTACAGGAAAAAAAAAAAAAAAAAAAAAAAAAAAAAAAAAAAAAAAAAAAAAAAAAAAAAAAAAAAAAAAAAAAAAAAAAAAAAAAAAAAAAAAAAAAAAAGGAAGGAAGGAAGAAACAAAAACTACCAAAGAAACTCCAGCTATCTGGAAGGAAGGAGGCTGGATGCCAGTTTACAGGCAGACCCAGCTCCAGCCTGACTACAAACAGTAGAATACTACGTTGGAGCTAAGCTCAGCACAGCACCTGATTTCTTCAAAAAAGGAGAGACCTTCTATATGAGAAATCCCCTAGATATAATTCATTATTTGATTGCACTTAAGATGTTTCCTACCAGCCTCATACATAAATCTCAACACGTTACTTACTGGGATGCTGATTCCAACTTCAGATCAAAGTTGTTTTTGAATGAAGAAAGTGAAGAAACTATGTAGAACCAGAGGGATCTCGAGAATTAAAGCTTCAGCTATAGCTAAACGACACCTTAAGGTCACCGTAGACAAGCATGAAATGTCCTCTAACCCTGTTCTCCTGGGCTCTTGGGCCATGCAGAGGGGCAGGGAAGGTGAAAAGCCACAGACTGACACTAACTGTCACAGCCCTGGGGCCCAGAGCCAGCCTCCCCACCCCCCCACCAGCCTGGCCTCCCTGCTCCAGACGGAGAGATCAAATTCCATATTGCACAGCAAACACCCAGGCCAGGGACTGAGGTTTCCTCCTCGGTGTCCCCAAGGCCTTTCTTGACACATAATGTGCGGTCAATAAACACTGAATGAATAAAGAATGTGGTAGAGAAATACACTGTGGCATGGGAGGGCGTCCAACTCCTGAGCTCTACGGCCACCATGCAGGCTGGGAAATGGCTCTTGTGCTCAGCTCAGAGCCGCTGCATCCCGGCCAAGTGCCACAAGGTGACAGGCACAGGGTGACATGCCCATTCTGCTCCAGCTGCCTTGGGTGGCACAGGGCCTGGCGGCCCCCATGCCCACCCACCTTGCAAATGGCAAGCAGATATGTTGGTTCCCTTAGCCAGCTCCCCTCCCTGTCATTTTCAGCCTCTGCCATCTGACTTGACCTTATGTACCCAAACTTGGGGCCCAATGCAGCAGGGGCTCCTCCATGCCCCTCCATCCTTAGCTCTGAAGTTCTGATCAAGGAGTTTTCCTCCCTGCCAGGGATACCCCATCCTGTCCTCTTGATAGTCTACAAGACCTGTTTGGGTTGCAGGAGCTTTCTCCGATACTCCCTTCCCCAGTGAATGCTTCATCTAACTCCTAGGGCACCTCCTAAGGCAGCTACTGGGGTCTCGCTACCCATATTCCATGAGGTCAAACAATGCACCTCCTAAGGCATCTACTGGGGTCTCGCTACCCATATTCCATGAGGTCAACAGCTACTTTCTCTACTCCTGGAGGTTGGGAAGAGGTCAACCACTCCTGACACCACAGAGCTTCCGAGTGGTCACTGCACACCATGACTGACTGTGCAGTGACTGACAGAGCTGAACTCTGTCTCTTGCCCATCTCCTTCAGGGCCTTCACTCACGGCAAACGTGATACCAGCAAGACAGGGGATACAAACCATCCCTCTCCCCGGCACTTGCCAAGGAAATGACACACTCTCAGAGGCACCACGCTGCCATCCAAGCAGACGAGAACTGACATCTTTTGCTTAAGGAAGGCAAGATGGGACAGAGGACTGTGGGTACTGCCAAGGCTAACCTGTTAACACTGCAGCAATGGTCCAGCCTCAGCCTGAGCAGCCACCATCCCTCGGCACTGAGCATAGGCTGGCAGACATGAGCATCTGATTTACAGACCCAAGCCCTGCAAGGCTGCGGTTCACACCAGTGAGGAGTTAAGTCAGGATCCAGAGAGATACTTCCTGCCTCTTCCACACCACCGAGACTCCCAGGACCCAGAACTGGGCACTCCCATCCAGTTTCTGCCAGTCTACAGTGGGCGCCACTCCCAGGGCATCTCTACCCTCTAGTCACCCAACCAGCTCACACTACTTCCCAAAGCCCAGGATGGTTCCTCAGGACACCAGGACCTGCTGGGTGCTGAGACACCCTCCTAAGCCAGCAGCTTGGAGACATAACCTTTGCAATCAACCACCCACATGGTACCTGCCTTAGGGAAGGAGGGCAGAGTACATTATTCTTCCTTCTCCCCAAATGCCAGGGCTCAAAGGAGACACAGTAACACATCAGCACAGTACCTGGCCCAGCCCAAGTTGTTCAAGTAAACAGTCCCATCACCATAATCATGACTCATTCTGACTTTCTGGCTTCCTGTTCCTTGTCTCCCAGGCACAGGTGAGGAGCCTACTTTTCAGCCTCACAACTTAATGGGACTGGAAGGCCTTGCGCTCAGCCCATGGCTTCCTGGTTTCTGAGAGGGGCAAGAGGCTGGAGTGAAGAGGGGCTGAGCAGGTTCCTCTGCCCTGCAATAGCAGGATGAGGCCAGCACCTCACAGAAAACCTCTTGGAAGACCCAAGGCCTGGCAGGGAGTCCGGGCAGGAGGCCTCTCCAAGAAGACACTGGCTCGGCACCAAGGCACTGCCTGAAGCTCCTGCTCACACAACACCTCAAGGCCCAGGAGGAGGGGAAGAGGGCTGGCCATGGGCCCTCAGCCAGAGGACCTGGCTAGAGGGGTTGGCATGACCTAGTGCACAGCCACCTTCCATGCTGTCTGGTTTCTGCACAGCTGGGAGACTATGAAATCACTGTCCTGTCTTCCACAGCTGTGTCCATACAAACGCCATCAGGGTACTGCCAAACCTTGCTCCAGAGGTGCTGCCTGAGTCACCCGTTGGTTCTCCTGGCCTCACACTAACGCTGACAACACAATGTTTTCTGCAGGCACAGTGGTGCACATCTGTAATACCAGCTACTCAAGTGGCTGAGGTAGGAAGACTGTGAATTCAAGGCCAGTCTGGGCAACATAATAAAACCCTGTTTCAAAAAGAAAAATCCCATTACTAACCAAAACAAAATAAAGCAAAAGACAAAGGTGACTGCAGGCTTAGGCCACAACTTCCACCTGCAAGACTGAGGGGTGATCCCCATTTAAAGGGCCGTCCTACCAAAATGTGTAATAGTTATTGAAAACAGGAAGACAATGCTGGGAAATTGGGAAATGGGAAGAAATGAGGAGTGGAACAGGGCAGCAGGGAAGAGACAAAGAAAGGAGGGACAAGAAAAAAAGGACAAAAATGCAAACAAAGCTTTTTTGAGGGGAAGAGGGGTTGGGAGGGGAGAGAAATGGGGGGAAAAAAAGAAACAAGATGTATCATGCACAGGTACAAATTCCCCATGCTGAATTATATATCTATATCTATATCTATATCTATATCTATATCTATATCTATTAAAAAAGGAGGGCTATCTTAGGTTATCCTAAAAGCCCCTCAAACCTGAGGCACTTCTCTTGCCTCCACCATGGCTTTCCTTGAACCTCGGAGGCTTCATAGGGGGAGAACAGATTAGTTACTGAGCATCAGATCTGAAAAAGGTCTTGATATGCTGGAATCTGGACCAGTGATGTCTAATAAAGAGGGCTTCATGTATAACTTAAAAGCCCTAGAAACCTCATTCAAAAAAGTTATTTTAGGGCCAACCAGATAGCTCAGCAGACCAAAGCACCAGCTTAGGCTGTTTGATCCCCAGCATGCCGTGCTGGCCCCGCTTCCTGGGTACGCTAAGACAGTGACTGAGACTAGGTGTGGTGGCACGTGCCTGTAATCCCAGTGCCTGGGAGGCTGAAAACAGGAGGATCACTACAAGTCTTCTCTGTGTAGTGAAACCCTGTTAGATCCTGTGCTAAATATATAAAATAAAATAAAAACAAAAAGTTATTTTAGCCAGGGAGGTATAGCTCAGCGGCATAAATGCCTACCTGGCAAGCTCAAGGTCCCAGTTCAAACCCCAATACTGGAGAAATAAATAAATAAAATTATTTTGTTTCATTGTGGTATTAGGGATTGAACTCAGAACCTTCATGCTGAGCTATATCTCCAGACTTCTACTTTTTTCTTTTTTTTCCCTTAAAAAGCTTTTGAGATAGGGTCTAAATTGCCTAGGCTGGGCTTAAACTTGTGATCCTCAGCTTTCTAGAGTGTTGGGATTACAGGTTGTAACACTACACCTGGCTATTTTATTTAACTTAATATTATCACCCCCCGGAAGTCATGAATTCAGACCCTCTTTACCACAAATTATGCAGTCTGATTTCCCATATTTGGGGAAACCGCTGGGGCCAGCATATCCAGAGTGCAATGGACAAGCCTCCCTGCCCAGGGACAGCCACCTTCATGGTCTCTCCCCTGCCAGGTAAATATAATATTATCATTTCAGCACGCGGATGGGACCACATTTCATGAGATCACCAGTACACACGCCTGATGGGCATGTACTGGCCAGCACAGCTCTCCTTCTTATTTTCAGATGAAGATACACAGTATCTATGTACAGGGAACCAGGGCAAAAGGAAAACAAAAACACTCCATCCTTGCAGCTAGGATCATCAGCCTCCAATTGCATAGCCTTGGCCCACAGGAAAGGGAATTTTTATGATCAATCAGATTCAGAGAGACTGCCACATAAACCTATTTGAAAGAGACAACAACCCAGAGAAGACTAGGAAATGGATATACTTGGCATTCCAAGGCTGAGGAACAAAGAACAGAAAGGAGGAGGAGGGAGGCTCTGGGAGACCTCTGGCGTTGGACCCAAGTCCTGTTGAGGACCTCGGTTTGTGCCATTCCTGCTCAGGGCCACCTGGCACACAAGGCGTGTGTAAATACCCATGCTCCAGCACGGGGTCTGGTGAATTTTCCACATCTCCCTGGAGGAGCTACCCACAAAAGCTCCTCTCTGCTTTAGAAGCAAGAACAAATCGTGCATTTACCCAGTGCCTCTAGTCTTCTTGCTCTGAGTCGCCATGCCAACACACAGTCATAATTACCAAGGAACGCGTCAATACTGGCAGCATTGACAAAGACACTATATCAGGGCCTGTGAGCTAAGCAAGGTCAGGCTCCTCGTAGACCCTCAGCTTCCTGCCCACATCCTTTATTCCACTCTGATCCATCTCTTTCCCTCCATTCTTTCTCTCCCACTCGGATGGTCTTTGATAATATTTTCTCTGCAGAGAAAGGAACCACAGCTCAGCGTATCAAACACTTTAATAGTAATTAGGAGAAAGGTCCCCCTTTCAATCCTGATTTTAACTTTAACATGCAGACCTCAGTTTTTTCACTGTGAATGGGAAGAGTATTTTGCCTATTCAGCCAGTGGGTGCCTGCATTTAATTTGTCCTCTGAATCCAGGGGCTGAGAAGCACCCATCTAGTCACCGCCAAGATCATCTTTTGGAGCTGCACCAGGGCTGCCAGAAACTGAGATAAAAGAAAGCTCAGGTCAGAGAAGGAGTTGGTTCTAACTCCCTGGGAACAGTGAGGCTTGTATGTGTTGTCCCCCCCACCCCAAGAAAAACGAAATTCTCAGAAAAGGAGCCAGGAGCAGCTGAATGGTGGGCTTTATCAGATTATGAAAAGATGAGTGGGATGGATGAGAACTATCAGGCTAAGTGACAAGCATCCTGAGGCCCCCAGTGAGAAGCAGGACATGCACCCATTTAAAATGAGAGGTCAGAAAAAGAAGGCAGACTGCCATCGCCAGAGCCCTAACACAAGAGTGCCCCAATTTCAGAACACCCAGTGCACCAACATCTGAACTTACAAAAGAGATAAATTGGAGGCTGATGATTAGCATCACAAAATGATTATTCCCTTTGTAAAAGGCTTCACTGCAGGACTGCTTTAAATAGTGCATTTAAACCATGATCTGATTTGCTAAATTCGATTTATACACATCCACTGCCTAAGCTGGCGTGCGGCTGTATTTACATGTCTTCCCTTGGCACGGAGGAGGGGAGAAGCCAGCCATTATTTGGGGCCTTTAATCCTTGTAGACAGTAACTAATCTGGGGAGCTGAACCCTGGTTTTCCTCCACAGCTGGGGCTTTAGCTGCAAACTGGCCCTGGTTCTCCACCCATTTTGCCTATGCAAACCAGACCCCATCAAAGACAAGCCAGGATTTGGCCAGGATCTGTAGGAGCCCTTGTGGCCACAGGGGCTCCCCCAACCAAAAACTCCCTATACCCAGGGATGACATCTTTCTGCTACAGATTTCCATAGAATTGGGTCTGTGACCAGTGTCTCTAAACTTATTTAGCACCTCTGGTCACCATGCCAAGAATTCAAATGTGCAATTTTGGGGTCCGTGGAAATTTACTAATCTCAGCCACATTCTCTGATTTGTGCTTAAGCTATGGGAATCAAACCTGGGTAAGTACAGAAAGGAGGCTGGCGCTCACCCCCAGGAGGACAAAAGAAGGGGCCTGCTAGGTTTCAGCAACCCTGCTGGTGCAATGAGGAACCTTCCTTGGTTCACTTAAACAGGCAACACATTCCTGAAGCAGGTGACCCTTTCCTGGGAGGTCCAGCAGTGTGACAGGGCATTTAGGAATCAGACAACAACCAAAAGGGAAAATACACCACCCAGTCTGCACTATTTTCCAGAGAGGTTTAGAAAATCCATTCAGGAACACATCATTAAAAATACCCCCCCCCCCAAAACTGAGGTCAGTGCCTCTACCCAAAACCCTACCCTTATTCAGTACCAGCAGATTCAGCTCCTTCATGCATCGGATATTTTACAGAGGCTCACAGTGGCAAGCATGGTGGGGGGTGGGGGGATAACACATGAGTGGATGGATGGATGGACAGACAGACGGACGGATGACCAGGACAGGATCCAAGATCGGGTCTAAGGAATTCCACGTAGGACTGGAGGGTTCACTAGGTTATGACAGAAATGACTGCCCTGTTAAAAAGGCCACTGAAGCCTGGTTGTGGAGATGGGGGCCGCACTGGAGTCACAACCCTTGCTCCTTGCCCTTGGCCCTACTAGCTAACTTAATACCTGTTCTGTGGGGGAATCACTCAATGTCTCTGGGCCTGGTTCCTCATCTGTGACATGCACAGGTGACCTACATAATCGCTGAACTTAATAACTTATGTAAACATTTTGTAGGAAAAAATGTGCATCTCTCTAGAACACTGATGAGCTTCGTTTTTGGAGCACTGTTATAAACCATCATGTTTTCACTGAGTTAACTACCAGGAACACATTATTAAAAATACCCCCCCCCCTGAAAACTGAGGTCAGTGCCTCTACCCAAAACCCTACCCTTATTCAGTACCAGCAGATTCAGCTCCTCCATGCATCGGATATTTTACAGAGGCTCACAGTGGCAAGCATGGTGGGGGGTGGGGGGATAACACATGGGTGGATGGATGGATGGATGGATGGACAGACAGACGGACGGACAACCAGGACAGAAGAACCACAAGATTCAATCACAAAATCTATTTGGGACCAAGGCTTCTGGCTATGGGGTTGGGAGTGACCAGGAGGATCTCATCTGTGAAGCAGGGATGTGTGGGAATGGGGGACTGGATGCAGGAGAGGCATGATTCCTGTTTTTATTTTTATTTTATTATTTTTTTTGGCGGAACCGGGGATTGAACTCAGACCCTTGCATTTGCCAGGGAAGCGCTTATTCCACTGAGCCATCTCCCCAGCCCCATGATTCCTGTTTTTAAAACAACCACATGGGTAACCAATCTGTTTGTGGGTCGGATTCATATACAGGGGCTGAAGTTAAGAATCAAGCTCAGCGGACAACCTCAAGTCTGCATCTTTCCTATGGCAAGTGATAGTCCAGTGAAGCACTCAGTACCAGGCCTGGTACAACACAGGACCCAAAACTTAACACTGAAGTTTCTTGGGTAGGTTTAAGACCAGGTTTAGGGTACCAGTGGGTCAAATGTGACATCTAGGCTAACAGTGACTGTGATTAAATTATCCACCCAAGCAACAGGCACGCAGAGGCAGAGAGCTGAAGCTCTGCCCCTTGAGCTGAGGTCTGCACGATGTCAAGATGCTGTTCCTTGGTGCCAGCCCTGTCATCATCTTCCAAAAGGAGGCCTCCAAGTGGGCCGCAGGTGCCTACTATCTCGGCCTGCTATCTTGCCTGGGGACAGTATCCAGGTGGCTTCTGCCAGTCTGTCACTCAGCCTTGTACTTTCAGGAGTAGTGACAACACACCTAACATTCCATGGGCACTAACACGCCTGGCAGTGTCCTAACAGCTCTGGGTTCCCCAAACCAGCAGGCACTGTGGAACAGGCACAATCTGCAGCCTGGTGCCCTGCATCGCGTGATGCTCTTTGCCTAGTGAGAGCAGGGAGGGCAGGGTCAGGGAGGGAAGGAGAAAGCCCTAGGGGGTTCCCAGTCCCAGTTACTTTGAGCGCACAGGCTACCTCCTGGCTGCTCCTTGCACTCCTGACCTGGTCTCCTGGGCTGGTATGCAACCCAGGTGAGTGGTCTTCTGTGTGTGTTGGCCTGGCGGCTCACACTCTGAGCTCCTGCTGCCCTCCCAGCCCTGCTCCAGTCTGGTACTGTGTGCACCTCGGGTTCTCAAGGCTACCTGGTTGGGTGCAGACAGGCATGAAAGCTCCGAAAGATGCTGTGCTCAGTTGCGCCGCGCGGCAGCTTCAGAGCCCAGCGCTCCCTACACCACAGCCCCTGAGCAGGAGGTGCGCAAGCCCAGACCTTAAGCCAGTCAGACCAGCTCATGACTCTGGCTTACGCCATTCCCAGAAGAGGTTGTGGAGATCCTTCGAGGCTGGCTGCTCAAGTCCAGAGAGTGTCCCGGAAGCCACCCCAGAGGCCACACACATCAGAATGCACTTGACCTGGCGCATGCTGTGTGCTAACACACTGTGCTCTGCCTAGTTATATCACAACACGCAAGCCAGCAGGTGTACTATTTGGCATCCTGGGCAAACCCAGGGTTCCTCACTGAGCTGCAGCTCCTGCCCCTGCCCCTCTCACTAGGTTCCTAAGTTGCACAGGCTGGGGACTCCAGCTTGTGATCCTCCTGCCTCAGCCTCCCAGAGTGCTGGGATTACAGGCATGTGTCACCATGACTGGCTCACAGAGTATTATTAAAGCCGTTTCACACGTGCATGGGGTGGGGGATGACAATGGGTGTGAGGCTGGGGGGTGGAGGGGAGTTGCCTTTTGGTGATCCAGGTAAAAACACAGGCAGTCTACCAAAAGGATTCCACATGGCAACTCTCAGGGCAGCTCTTTGTCACATCATCAGCAAAACAGAGAGAGAGCACAGGCAGTCAAGTTATTGTGTTGGCTACGGCCACTCACCTCTCTGGTAGGAGCCAAGTCAGGCCTTGGGAGGAGGGAGCCCTGC